GAACAATTTAGCATTATACGCAGGTTCAATATTAGAAGATATCGTCGAATAATCGCTATACGCGCATTACACAATAATTTAATCTTAAAAAGCGAGTCTTTATTGTAACGATTTAATACAGAACTCGGCAGTACTTCTGGTTAAAATAATTAATTTCTAAATCCGTTCTCGTTTCAGATTTTCAGAACATTTGTTAAGTTACAATTATGGATATTTATGATTATGCCCAAAGTTTAGTTTAATATAATTTGAAGTTAATGTAAATATTGAGTCACTCGCGTATGATTAATGAGTACCTACTAGGTAAGTACTATAGGTTATTTTCAACGATTAATTTAAAATAAAACCTTTAAAATTATTACATATTTTTGAATAGTAAATGTCACTTTTTCTGCTGTTGTTTATTAACCAATAAGAATTATTTATAGCAAATAGAAACTATTATTACTTCATAACTGTTGATTGAATAAACTTAATGAAAACAAAATCCTGCAAATGATGACTATCTAACACGTGTGAAGTATTGGTTCTGAAAAATTGATTTTTGAGAAGAGTTATTGTTATTAATTTGAAAATTCATTCCAACGGTATATACTAAATAAATAACCTACAAATTCCAAGCTGCATAAAATATGTATTATTTTAATGGACCAATCATGGCCATGGACCACTAAATCAAGTTTAAGGGACCATTAACTCAGTATTAAATCATTATATGTTAAGTGATTTTTTTATGCAACTCGGCATAATACATAATATAAGAAAATATCTTTAAATCAAAATGGCGAACCTTGGTGGTATTTTTTGATTTTATTGGTTAGTTATTTTATGACTAGTAAATTATATGGTTTACTCTAGCTTATACTCATAGTTTATTGATTGTAAATTTGAAAAATATTTACGATAGTATTAGGTTGTCTAAAATATAATAAAACTAATAAATTATGAAAGCGAGAAAATGTATTTTTCGTACAGCAAGTGCAACACCGCACGTATTAGAAAATGTGAAAAAATTTAACTATTGAAACTTAAATATTTCATAAACGCATTTAAGCATTCCTTAAATATATTCTCTTATCACGAGATCTTCACTACACATTTTAAAGTATTGATTGTTTTTGTCTTTTTTTTATTCATCATGATGATATATTGCATTTGACTACGGCCAGTAGACGAGGTGTTTATTTTTTTTCGGTCGTGCGCATTTTTTTTTTATCACAAGCGTCATCTCGATACCACCATATATACAGACAGATCAGGGAATTGCCCCACTGAGAAGTCAGCAAAATTTATTTCCAGTTGTCGGCTCGTAGTTTATAAATCACTACAACATTTGAATAGATTAAATTTGAACACGCCGTCGTCATCAAATCCTATATCGTTACCAAACACTCATACAAATATTTATCACTAAAAAAAAGAAATCATTGTTGGGTTTTCTACCACAGCGTAATAATAATAATAAAAGACGTTTGATTAGACGAGATCGTTATTTGAGATATTTTCCAAAACAATAGTAATGTTCCAAATTCTCAAAGATATAACCAAAACTTACATATTATTATATTCAAGCCAAAAGCAAAATTTTGAACAGTTCGGTTCTAAATGGAACATATAGTTATGATAAAAAAATAAAAAAAATAAGTACAATATGGTATATTTTTCATCTAAAAGAACAAGTTTTTAAATTTGAAAACAGTTCAAATTCCAGGATTTTGTATAATTATATTAGTCATGAACATAAAATAGTAAATTAATAAAGGTACGAAATCAGAAATAAAAATATCAAATAAAAAACATATATTAAGAACTATACTTTATAGTTTATTTTATATTATATTATGATTATTCAGCTATTTAATAACTAATACATTAATTTGTTCATTTTTGGTTACATGCCAAATCAAAAAAAATATATTATTACAATTTCTACTTCAATAATATTAATGTTTTTATTTATCGTTCTATTAGGTACTTATAGTGGGTAAATATAAATAATATGTTTTTTGAATAATGTTATAGTTTCTTTTAAATTAATTTAAACCTTTTATTTTTTTAAAAGTCCAGTTTAAATGATGAATACGTGGTTCGAGTTGACCTCAAAAAACAGAGTTGATAATATCACCATCTAAAATCAATCAGAAGTTGTCATTATTTGGGACACATTTCGTCTAGCTTCAACTGAATCGTTTACCGCTGTAATCATCACGCTTGCTGTGAATCAAAAGTTTTCGTTTCAGAGGCATAATATTAATAATAATAATAATACTATCCTACTTCAAAATATTCAACCAGATACCACTAAACAATTTAGAAACTGCAGTATTGAATATATATGAGGTATGGAATTAATGTAGTGGGTGGTTTGATCTATTGTTGTTACCGAGAAAATGTAAATATTTACTATAGTTCTAATTATATTACAGAATTACCATTTAGTATTTTACCAATAGTTCGAATCGTAGTCTAATAAAATAGAATATTCATCGCATTGGTACGGTGGAAGAAATTGCGCTTTTAATGTATCGCACCGTTAATCAAATTATCAAACTACTTTTATGTTTAAGACAGACCCGAAGAACAAAAATATAAACCAGTTATATAACTAAACGTATATATTCTATTGAGTACTTATTTCTAATGGGATTGCTGGATTTCATCAGGGCTCGACTGGACAGTCTCCGAGCTTTGTGTAATATTTTTCTACTGGCCAACAATTTGGTATAGTGGCCCATTTTGGCCAAATTTTAATATTAATAAACAATAATGACCTTGTCACATTAGTTGATTGTAATTACCTAGCTGCGATATAAATCGTAATGTGGCATTGGGGCCATTTTCTCCTAGCAGCTCTAAGATTTTCTAGAATGCTCGACTGGCCTATCGTAGCCCGTATCCTGCAGTTATACGCTCCGTACACATGATAATGAGTTTAATTTGAAAATCGTACACAAATAGAAAACTCGTACTTACCACATAAACAGAACGATTAGTAAATTTAATTTGCAAACCAACCCTAAACCAATATTGGCTTAATGTCGCCTCTCTAATCGCTCTATACGTATGTCGACAACGTCTGACAGTTTTTACCGGAAACCCGTACCTTAGGCTAGAGCGCACAACATTATTATATTGTAGGTTCAAATTAGAAGTGTTGGAAGTAGAACGCCACAGCGGGAGAGGACAAGGATAGGGTTTATGTGTAATATAATATACTTCGTTGTATATATATATTCAATAACGATTATTCTAGAGTTGGAGATAACGTCGTCGTATCTCCAAGAAATATTTAAAAGTGTGTACACACTACGTCGGAATGTGACGTGATTGATGAGCCGATAATTTTGGACGTAATACCGTAATCACGTATACAGCAAACGACTTCAGTGACTGCTGCCGGTGCCGTCAATCCCCAAATGTTGGGTAAACTAGATGGATAAACGAGACAGATACGCATCTGATGAACGTGGAAAACAAATGTAGACGAAAAAGTTTTTTTTATTTTTATTATCATTATTTCCAGTTGCATAGCCCTGGAAATTGTTATTGGCTTCCTTTCCGCCATCGAGAATTTTAGTATAAACGAACTCGAATAATAACTGATGACGACAATAATGACACCAACCATAATATACTATGTTAGAAATCTCTCAAAGGAATTCCAACCGAAAATGCGTGGTCTCTGCCTGAAACTTACTTTAGGTAAATTTAATACATATAATATTTTGTGATAAAAGTTCAAAAAAATATATATTAGGTTTTTCCCTCGTGGATGATAATAACCAAAAATTCATGTCGAAAACTGATGAATATTTACAGAATATATAGAAGTGTTTTTTATATATATATGTTATGTTGTTAGTTTTATTATTATTTGTTAGTATCCAATATTAAATATACTATATCTAGTGCTGAAAAAAATATCGAGACTCAATAGTTTGTCAAGTCTTTATTTTATTTTATAACAGGTGTGTTATGTACACTAACCTCGCTATGGATTGAGGTGGTAGTGCAGCGCGGTGGGTAATGGAATTATTTGGACGAGAGTAGGTAATTGACAATATCAACCGTAGGCTATATACATGCTTATATTATTATTTACTCTAGTAATACATACTTGTGGACGGGGGGAGCACTTAACCTACGTACTTAAAGTCTAACAATTTAGTTGTATATTAAATGTAAGTTATGAAGTTAAAAGAGTCAACATTACATGTCCGCGACGTGGTGACTTCGGCGACGCAATCCCAGTGGTGCAGTACAACCTTACGATCTGGACCGTGGGCGGTGTGGCAAAACGCTGGTGAATGTTGAGTATTGCTCTACACGTCGGCGAATAATACGGCACGACGGTAGACGGACGATACGGCGCACGGACAGTACACACGCAGCAGAACCAGCGTGTACGGTCTACACGTCGGCGAATAATACGGCACAACGGTAGACGGACGATACGGCGCACGGACAGTACACACGCAGCAGAACCAGCGTGTACGGTCTACACGTCGGCGAATAATACGGCACAACGGTAGACGGACGCTCAACGGAGGAACATAACTTCGATACGAAGATGGCGAACACTGTTCAGCGAACAACCAAAAAAAAAAGGACGCAGAATCCACACAGCAGAACGTCGTACGAACGGGACAACAACAACGAACTCGCGTATCAGCGATAATGTGTCATTGTGATAAGATATCCGACCGGCCGCGTGATACGCGGGCGACTGGTTGTCGTTAGGTGTAACGGTCGCTCACCGGCGGCGTGCCGGCCGGTGCAAGTTCCGCACGCCGTCGTTGTCACATGTTGCGTGTGGCGGCAACATACTCCCCCCTTGGAAGACGTAGGCTTCCAAAGTTAACCAGTATGCTTGAGTTGATGGGGTTGATAACTTATGTGCTAACTTAAAAACTAATTGAGAAATATCTCTACATAAATGTACAATCAAGGAGTGGGCTTGTGGAACAAGGAAATGATAGTTGTTGGTGTAGGAGAACAACTCAGGAGTCCTGTTCATCCTCGACAGGCAAAACTGCTAACTTCACGACGGGCCGTTTGTAACTCCCGTCACTTGTTCGAACGGTAACGACTCTCACCACTCCATCCTCGCCCGGATGGGTCAACTCGACTCTCCCTAATTTCCAATGTGTTGGAGATGTTTTTGGATGATGCACTATCACGAGGTCTCCGACTGCGATGTTCACTTGCTTACGATACCATTTTGATCGGCCCTGAAGCGTAGTCAAGTATTCTGATGACCACCGTTTCCAAAACGATTGTTGAAACTGGGTCAGTAACTGCCATCGAGATAACCGGTTCATCGGCGTGGAAGTCAGATCTGGCTCTGGTAACGCGACTAACGGACATCCGATCAAAAAGTCTCCAGGAGTTAGCACTCGTAGGTCACATGGGTCAGATGATTGTGGTACAAGTGGCCGTGAGTTGAGCAGAGCTTCAATTCTGTGAGCTAAGGTGGACATTTCCTCAAATGTCAACAGCTGAGTACCAATGACTCGTTTAAGATGATATTTTGTTGACTTCACAGCTGCTTCCCACAGTCCCCCAAAGTGAGGGGCTGCAGGAGGATTGAAATGCCATTGGCATGGAATCTGGGTGGAACAGAGTTCACGTACAACCGGATCTCGCAATTGAGTGCGTAATACTGCATCGGCGCCTTGGAAGTTCGTTCCACAATCGGAATAGATATGAGCTGGAATACCCCGACGTGAAATAAAACGATGTAGTGCAGCTATGAACGCAGGTGTGGATAAGTCAGAAACGACCTCTATATGTACTGCCTTGATTGCCATACAGACAAAGATCGCCAGATAACACTTCACTGAGCGAGTGTTGCGGCGTCTCCCTTCCTTAATCCATAATGGGCCTGCGTAATCAATACCGACGTTGTTGAATGGCCTCGAAGGACAAACTCGAACATTTGGCAAGTCTCCCATTACCGGTGTAGGCCGAGTGGCTCGTTGTCTTGCACAAACCACGCATTTGAATATGACCGAGCGAATGATGGACCGACTTGACAATATCCAGAAACGAACCGATAGCAAGGATGAGACCAATTGAGGTCCTGCATGCAAATGTTTAGTGTGATAATGACGCACAAGTAATGTAGTGAGTACGCAGGACTTCGGCAGTAATATTGGAAACTTGAAATCCTCCTTGGACATTGAATTTCGTATGCGTCCACCTACTCGGACAATTCCTTCAGTATCTAGGAAGGGCGTAAGTCGCGCAACGGACAGTGGAATTGTACCATTTCTGTTGCATGACAAGGTTTTGATTAAGTCTCGAAATTCATGTGATTGAGTGACTTTAACGATTATCTTGAGAGCATGCTCTAGCTCTGACCAACGAATAAAACCCGAATATGAAAATTGATTTCGAATACGACATATAAACCGATACATGTGGGCGACAATTCGAGTGACCCGAGTGAATGAAGAAAAACGCTGTAACCAATCAGTACTGAGGGTTGGAACGGTGACAAGATTACTTGATTCTGTAGGGATCTGCCGTTCTGGGAGTCTGTCGAGTGGCATGACGTTAAAACCAGTGGACGACCAGCCACTCTCCGGTTGACGCAGGAACTCGGGGCCGGTCCAGTACAGAGTATGTGACAGTGCTTCGTTGGCATGCATTCCACGTGAAACACAGTCTGCTGGGTTGTTCAGCGTGGAAACGTGACGCCATGTGCATGATGGTATCAGTTCCGCGATCTTATTCAACCGGTTTGTAACGAATACCTTAAATTGTACTTGGTGAGTAGTTATCCACGCGAGCACAACAGTGGAATCCGTCCATGCGTGCATAGATGAGATATGTACCATTTTGGCAAGGGTTTGTTGAACACGATGTAGCGTTTGGGCAAGTAACAGGGCCCCACAAAGTTCCAATCGTGGAATAGACAACGACTCGTCCATATTTCCTGATTTCAAGGGTGCCACCTTTGATTTTGCAGTTAGTAAATGTACCGTTGATAATTTTGAAGGATACTCTAACCGGATATAGACAACCGCTGCAAATCCCTTCTTTGACGCATCGGAAAAACCGAGTAACTGAACATGACAGGACTGATCGATTGGGATGTACCTGGGTATTTTGAGTGAAGCCACACTAGGTAACTCTGACGAAAATGTTTTCCATGATGACGATAGTTCATTTGATATGGGCTGATCCCAAGTATATCCGCCTTTCCATAAGGTCTGCATGAAGCATTTCGCCCAAAATATGATAGGGGCTAGCAATCCAGGTGGGTCATACATTTGTGCAATAGCTGATAGTACAGAACGTTTGGTGGGTGTTGCCTTAAACGATCCACTGTGATACGTGAAGGTATCGGAACGTGGATCCCAGTGGAGCCCGAGTATTTTCACGGTGCATTCATCCTTTTGGTCGAAGGATATTACTGTAGTCCGGTCCTCCGTAGGAATATTTTTCAATACTTCAGGACAGTTGCTTGCCCACTTCTTGAGCACAAATCCACCATGAGCTAACAATTGAATTGTTTGTTGTTGTAACATTAGTACTTTGTCTACTGTATTGGTGCCTGTTATAATGTCATCCACATAAGTTTGGGTGGATAAGACATCCATAGCAGCCGGATATTGTTTACCTTCATCCTTTTCAAGTTGATGTAACACCCTTATAGCATGATACGGAGAAGACGCGACTCCGTAGGTTACGGTGCATAACTCGTATTCTTCCAATGAGGCGGAAGGGTCATTTCGCCATAAGATGCGTTGGTACTCACGCTCTGAAGGTGGAATAATAATTTGGCGGTACATTTTGCAAATGTCCGCCGTAAACATGTATCGATGTAATCGACAACACATTAATAAATCCATTATGTCCCGTTGTAATTTCGGTCCGGTATAAAGTATGCTGTTTAGAGACGACCCATTGGATGTGCGGGCAGACGCATCGAATACCACCCGTATTTTGATTTTATTGTTTTCATGCTTGACAACCGCATGATGTGGTATTATGTATTTAGCTGGTGTAGCAGCAAGTTGCATATGACCAAGCTTGAGGTAATCGTCCATGAATGATCTATATGCTTCATACAACTCTAAATCGTTTTGTAATTTCCGTTCTAGATTGAAGAAACGTGACAACGCCATGTTGCGCGATTCACCCAATGTACTCGGGTCAATCTTAAACGGGAAATTCACAATATACCGACCAGACTCATCACGATTAGTCGTTTGACAAAAATGTTCTTCACATTTTTCTTCTTCCGTGAATGGCCCGGGACGCACAACCGGCTCTTCTACTTCCCAAAAACGGCTGAGCAATTGGTTGAGAGGAGGTTCGGATGACACTAGCAGAGACGAACAGTGTGAAGGTGAACTGTCTTGAAATGAAGTTCCGACAAAAATCCATCCAAGACTAGTCTCGAATGCTGAAGGTAATCCAATGACGTGACGTACTTGGTAACCATTTTTGAATATTTGATTATAAATGTCAGCTCCGAGAAGAAAGTCGATACGTCCTGGTTGATCAAAAGACGGGTCAGCAAAATGTATGTCTGCGTAGGTAGATCGTATACGTGGATCTAGACTGGTTGGAGGCATTGAACCCGTTATTCTAGACAAAATCACCACTTCACATGTTATTTCTGAACACATAGAAGTATGTGGAATCATAGTACATGTACCACATCCCTTTGCGTGTATGACAGAATTTTGAGAAAGGCCTACAACATTAACGGTCGTTGGACGTCGGGGTAGTTGTAGCTGGAGTGCGCAACCGTGTGTGATTGCTGATATTTGAGATCCAGAATCAATTAGAGCTCGGACGGGTATCCATTGTCCACATTTATCACGGATGCGTACGAGTGCAGTGCCTAATACATTGAGGTTCGTGGCGTTCACGGTCCCGACAAACGCAGATGAGGCATTGCCTGTGGTTGGAATTGCGACATTAGAGTCCGACTTCGATGATGGAGATGACGACACTTGTTGATCGCCTTGATCGAGATGAAGCATCGAATGATGTCGAGCCGAACACTGACGACAAACATATTTTGACATACATTTCGATGATGTGTGCGTGGCACTAAGACAATTTGTACACATTCGATGAGATTGTATGGTTTTAAGGCGCTGTTGCGTGGATGCCTTAATGAATTTTTCACACTTCCCGATATAATGTGATTCTTGGCATAGCGGGCAAGCGGTCGTGCCCTTACCAGCAGCAGCCACCAGAGAAGTGCGAGGAGCTGAGTAAGACTTCTTGATTTGTGGTTTTGGTTTACTGTGGACATGCGCTTCTAACGTAGTAGAACCTGAACAGTTTTGGAGAACTTGGCATCTGTTTTGGACAAACTTCAATAAATCAGTTATTACAGGTAGAGCATTACTACTATGTTGGGATTCAAATAGGCACTTAGTAGACGGATCCAACACTCGAGAAGCAATATAAAACAATATAAAGCCCTCTTTGTCGGGAAGTTCAAAGGTCTTGATTGCACCAATATTCTCTTGAAACGTGTCGAGAAAAATCTTCAAGTCGTTCAGCGACGACGATTTTAGTGGTGGAAAACTAAATAATTTTTCCAAATGTGCATGTAAAATAAGACGTTTATTATCGAAACGGTCATGGAGAGCCTCCCATGCTACCTGATAGTTTGACTCGGATAATGGTATAGAACACACTACTGCACTTGCGCTACCCGTCACAGCAGACAATAGATGATGAAATTTCACGATTTTTGGTATATCGTCGTCTTCGTGTACCAACGAATTGAATGTATCACGGAAAGTTCTCCACCGTAGGATATCACCGTCGAAACTTGGGATTTGGATTTTTGGCAGTTGTATCTGTGATCTATCCTTTGTGTTCGATATGCCCGACGATGGCACTGATGGACGGGTGTCGTAACCTATCGCGTCAGTAGCAGCCATAATGGCATAATATTTTACAGACACTTCGCTATTTAAAGGTACATGTGACGAATAATATTCCCCCTCACGGTCGAGTTGTAATAATAGGTCAAAAATCGAGTCTTGATCAGCAATGAACTGGCTGTTAAGAGATTGAACATCCCTCTGTCTAGCACGGAATACATGGAGAGCATCTCTATTTTCACCTATGTTTTTCGCCAAATCATGTAATAAATTAATTTGGGCAACTGACGCATCTCGTTTAGCGACAGTACGTTTCAGAGCACGCTCTGCACGCTCCTTGTCTGATGCAGAGAGGGGCATGGTTACCAATGTTTATTTTAAAAATGTGTTTTTTTGTTAGTGGACTGTATAGTATACTCGTATATCCGGCCCGAAGGACCAAAATGTTATGTACACTAACCTCGCTATGGATTGAGGTGGTAGTGCAGCGCGGTGGGTAATGGAATTATTTGGACGAGAGTAGGTAATTGACAATATCAACCGTAGGCTATATACATGCTTATATTATTATTTACTCTAGTAATACATACTTGTGGACGGGGGGAGCACTTAACCTACGTACTTAAAGTCTAACAATTTAGTTGTATATTAAATGTAAGTTATGAAGTTAAAAGAGTCAACATTACATGTCCGCGACGTGGTGACTTCGGCGACGCAATCCCAGTGGTGCAGTACAACCTTACGATCTGGACCGTGGGCGGTGTGGCAAAACGCTGGTGAATGTTGAGTATTGCTCTACACGTCGGCGAATAATACGGCACGACGGTAGACGGACGATACGGCGCACGGACAGTACACACGCAGCAGAACCAGCGTGTACGGTCTACACGTCGGCGAATAATACGGCACAACGGTAGACGGACGATACGGCGCACGGACAGTACACACGCAGCAGAACCAGCGTGTACGGTCTACACGTCGGCGAATAATACGGCACAACGGTAGACGGACGCTCAACGGAGGAACATAACTTCGATACGAAGATGGCGAACACTGTTCAGCGAACAACCAAAAAAAAAAGGACGCAGAATCCACACAGCAGAACGTCGTACGAACGGGACAACAACAACGAACTCGCGTATCAGCGATAATGTGTCATTGTGATAAGATATCCGACCGGCCGCGTGATACGCGGGCGACTGGTTGTCGTTAGGTGTAACGGTCGCTCACCGGCGGCGTGCCGGCCGGTGCAAGTTCCGCACGCCGTCGTTGTCACATGTTGCGTGTGGCGGCAACAAGGTGACTAATGGAAATTGTGCGTTATTATTATTTAAAATTTAGAATTTTGTTGCAATACTACTTACTACTTTAGCATTATCCCGAAAAACTTTCAAATTATTTGCTTCAATGATTTTCGTATTGTATTTCTTCATCATAAATAAATTATAAGTCCTTGTCCAAGAATCAATTATGCAGTCTATTACATTCTAATTAAATTTGTATTAATCTGTCGAGTAATTCAATTTTGTAGGTTGTTCTTTGTGCTTTTACTGGATACAGTTCATTATTTTTTTTTATTTAAAATACCCTTGGCAACATCGGCCACTGGGTGTATAAACGGTTAAATAATTATTAATTTTCATTTAAATTTAACATTGTTTTAACTACCTATATACATTTGTATTTAACATTATTTTAACTATCCCTATACATATGTCATAAATAGGTGCATTACAATTAATATTAATCCATGATTTTATATCATATTTTGAGATTCAAAAGCTAATAACTTTATTAATATAATTATAGTACTATAATATTAGTAGTTTAGCTATGATGGAATATAGGAGTTCCCATTTTCATTTTCAAACACGGGAAGTATACAATATTTTAAAATTTGAAATTTGAAAAAGAACTAAACAATTTTTTTTGAAGATAACAAAATATAATCCTTTTTTTATTAATATAGTCAATCACATTGGTAAATAGATTTAGATTACATTTTTGCAATACTTATAATATGACAATATTGCATTTTTTTAATTTTGAAATAGATATATTAAAACTCGGAATATTATATTGCTTATTCGTCTATTATACATTTTTGAATTTTTATAATCTTTTTCATTTAGAGATACTAATTTGGGGCAATGATGGCATACTACTATCGAAAACAAAGAAAAATAATAGTTGAATATTTAGATTTTTCACAACATAATTTGAATGGTTAGTACGAATGACTTGAATCATTATAATGTAAATATTGTTTTTAATTTTATCTAACTCTGGTAGTGTTTCCTACCTACACGGGTGCGTGGCGTGGGAGGTAAATATTGTTTTGACGTTGGACGGATTTTACGTTCTTGTAACATTATAAGGCCTCCATAATTAAACGATAGGGAATATGCAAACAACCATCGTTTTGACTTTTACCTCTGACCTTAGAAATGCGGTATGAATAATTAACACCAATACACCACACCAACGCACACAGACACAGTCAAACAGACAAAGACAAAGACACACACACACACACACACACACACACACACACACACACACACACACATACACACACCACCCTTTGGGAAATTTCCGTAGAAAATCCACTTTTGTAATTTATAGTGTTAAAATAAATATACATACAGGGTGAGTCATCGCGTTTTCCCCTTTTTTCCATAAGGTTATAACAGTTAACACTCAGTACAACGACGGAAACACACAATTTCCCATTTGGCCATTCTGTATATACGCAGTACGTCTGTAAATCAGTTAAATTACCCTATGGATTCTGAAATAAGCCCGCATGTTTACATGCATCTTGTACCACAGAGATGGTGGCACGCAAGACGCGTATATTTGCATTAGTACTCGCTGTTGGATGGTGTGCCCATTCCTCGGCATGGATATATACATGTATAGCCACGTCTACCCGACGCAAACCGAACGACATTTCCAGGCCCAAAGGCGGCGGCGGGGACGAGGACAAACCGATTTTAAACCATCGCCTCACGATATTATATTGTCTGCACGGTAACGCGGCTACATTTTTATTTCTATCGACGGCGGCAAAACAAAGAACGTGCACGAATACAAATAATAATGAACGTTTCAAAGTAAAATATGCGATTGTACTTTTTTACATAATAATAATTATAATACATGATGAGAATTTACTTTTATGCAACCATTATAGTTGCTATATATACGTACCATAAACAGCCGTTTATAGACCGTCGAAAGTGGAAATACACATCAAAGGGAGGAGAGGGGACGACAAAAATGGAACTTCCTCGATGATGAAAAATGTATGCTACGTATTTTATGCTGTTTTTATTTCCTTTTTTTCTTTACAGACCCGTTCTTGGCATTTTAGTTGACCTATAAAAAAAAACCGAGTCGGTATTTTATTTGTTATTTTTTAGTACACTTAATATACATTTGGTTTATTGACATTAATTTAGTTAAATACACAATATCGTGTACAACCGTGGACGGCTGCTCCGCTTAAATTAAACTTACATCATATTTTGTTTTATATCTTTATATTTTTTAAAATATTTTATATCCCTCATTCGTGTTTTTTTTTCTGTATAACTTAATTTTATTTTACATTAGGAATGAATTTAAGTTCGATGTTTGTAAAATAATGTTTGGCATTTTAATCCCGCCTCGAAAATTGAGTTTGGCTAAAGACTTATTAGTTATTACCCTTTAAACACTTATCATGTCCTGAGAAATCAATCGGAATTAGCGGTATGTGATGATATTATCATGTGATTATTGTGGATAGTATGCAGGTAAAATGTCGGTTTTTGATTGTTTTTTTATTTTTCATATATATTCAATCTAGATTAAGGTCAGCGTGGTATAAGCCCATTCTTGGATTTATCGTTTAGACTTTGGAGACTCTCTCTCGATTCCCCACAGTGTGTGGTTTGTCCCTATTATTTTTTCACTTCAATATACGACGAAAATTTCATGCTTTAAGTACACCATATAGCAATTTCTACGACCATGCATTTTAATTTATACTATAATACTATAATGCTATTAATACACACGATGCAGTGGATTCCTTTCATTATTATTTTACCGCGTTCGTCGTCATAGTGAGTACAAAAGGCTCGTTTATAATATAAGTTGTAAGACGACTACCAACTGTAATAATAAACGATTTAATATATAAATATATATAGGACGATTATATTATATTTTAAATGTGGAGTTATGATTGCCTGAAACGAAATGTCGTGTTTTTTTCTTCATATAACCCAGACACTTTTATTTCTCAAATTTTAAATTGAATTGTTCTGTGTATTTGTGTCACATACTCATATATTAAATAACTTTCGCACAACCGTCATACATGTATAATATTGTTATTAAACATATTATTATACACCCTTGAAAGCTGGGAATGATTAAAAACGAGAGCCTTCCGTTGCCATAAAAATAAATAATTTTTCTTTCAATGGTTTTATTAAGACGTTATTCTGCTGTCGTGGTTCTAGTAAGTATTATGTAGGTGAAGGATCATATTTATTTCATCTATCTACATCAATTGTATTTAAGTCATTATGACAAATAATTATAATTATTATTGTTAATTAAATTATATTATGTGGTATAGTACAATTAATTTTACATAAAGCGTTGGTACAAAAGCTGTAAATCGATAATAGACCTTTAATATTTATGAAAACTAGCTTTGATAGAACTAACTAACTTAAAAATCCTTAACAAATTTGTGAAATTCTCGTTGTTCAAATAACAGTAATTGAACAGTTGCCACATGAGTAATATGCACGTATAGTTTTCGCCATAATGAAATATTTCATAATAATATTAAATCTAATAGTTTATTAGAAAGTAGTGTCAGATGCCGTTCCAAAGTAAACTGCACTCCGAAGTACCGAAATTGCCTGTACAATGCGCCGGCGGATCAATAGTTATAAATGATATTATTATTAAAAAAAATATGTCAAAAATAACAATCCCTAAACGAGAAACCTTGGCTTATAATAATATTATTATGTATAGGGGTGCATTTTACATACTAGTGGACAATTCTCCATACGATTCAATCGTAAAACTATAATATTTGTATGTAGTGCATTACATAGTAGACATTTATTATCAAAAACCGATTGAATGTTATTTTAAATTAGAACATTCGATATATGATAAATAAAGTGTATTCATTAGAAATGATTTGATCCAAGTAAGAGGTTATGCATATTTTCAGTCGCACTATCCTAAACTCACTTGGATATTATTATAACAGTATTATCAAAGTGTAACATCGACGAAATTTAGCATCTATTTGCCGTCATATTTTGGTACAGCGAAAATATCAA